AATTAATGATTTAATTTAGTTTCAAAGTCAATATCTACTTGAGTGAGTCTTCCACTAAGTAGTTACCCACGACTAGGTTTGGTTAGGGACTACACATGGTTTTCGATTGTCAACCACGTCCAGGGTGTAGGCTCGGGCCTGATAGTTTATTAAGGGAAAGTGTCTTTTTATTAAAATGGTGTTTTGTGAAGAGCTCTAGTAGAACTAGTTTCTCAACATGAACATTGCACACGTATGCTGAGTCAAATAATTTACGATCCTATAGAATAATATTAAGTAATAAATGTCTAATGGAACCTAGTAAAAACTAAGTGATTTTTCCATGTAATTTGATGATGATGGATTCATCAACTTCTATATTGTCTCTCTATCAGTCTATTCCAAAACAACCTGCCTTTTATTTTTCCTAATATCTTTACTGTGTATGCACTTCAAAAGAACCTAATTTCTAACAAAGTATAAATCGGCAAAAATTCAAAGACTCGACAATCCAAATGGATAAGCGTTCCATTATATGTCATTGCTTCATTAGTATTTGAAAGAAGAAAAATAGTATGAATATCAAAATATTCTTATGTGAAATTTTTTATAGGTAAATACCACTAATCGAATTCCCATAGAAGTTGCATCATCATAAAAAGGTAAAACATCTCATTTGTGTTCACTACAATCAAAGGATTATGGGATTCCATAACTTTATTGTTGTTACCGAGCATTGATGAACTCTTGTGATTTGAAAAAATTATTTTGGTATGGTTGCACAAACTACTACTTCTTGAACTTGGCAAGTAAAAGAGAAAAAAACTTGTGAATCTTTCAATATTATTTAAATAATTTTTGCCTATATCATCAAAATAATCGTTTTCTATCTCGTTGTACTTTTTTAGGTTAACAATTTTTTTTGTCTAATCAATTTGAAAATATAGTTGTCAATATTAGAAGAGTAATTTTGTAACAACCCTAAAAATGAAATAGTTCAAACTAGTGATTTACATGTTTTTCATGATTTAATAATTTATTAAAATAGTGTATTTTAGATTTAGCAGTCATTTCGTAAAGTTTGGGAGCGTTTGGAAGTCAAATGCCCAAGACATTCAAAAACTAGTCGAAGTTGAACAAGTATGTCGTAGTGTTTTGTAGTAAAGTTTTGGGGGATGGATTGAGTGTGAAATTGATTGTCAATGGTTCCTATTCTTAGAGGGATGTATCAAGTGTCAAAATGTCCGAGTACGACTCCTCGGGTACCACCCGAAGGGCCCGCAAGGAGGACCCAAACATGGGTCAAGATGCTGCCCAAGGCAGCGTGCAGGGGCAGGATTTGAAGCCTTGCGACGCGCCCTTGGCACGAGGTATACTGCCTAATAACTTTTGAGATATAAAAATCAGGAGCTTGCCTTGCGACGTGCAGCCAAGTCCCATATTTGTCCGCGACGTTTTTAAGTCAAATTTCAAGTTGGTAAAGGGTCCAAATGGCGTGGGGGTATGTGGGAACTTTGGCAATCATTTGTGGACTTATTTAGGTCATTTTAAACATCATTTCACCCACCATTTCAAACTCTAAAGATCAAATCAAATCCTCTCCAAAACGCTTCCTCCCGAAAACCTCCACTGAAGAAGCTTCAAGCTCCAAGGAAGAGGACCAAGTTCATCATTTTTTCTTCACCAAATTTTCGTGGGTTTCTTCTATTTAAGGTATGATAGTCATCCTTGATCCTTCTTTCATTCATGGAGCCACTTCAAAGAGATTTCAAAAAGGATTTCAAACTTCAAACTTCTTTATTCCGTGACTCTAAGTATAGGTCTTTGCATGAAAATGTTTTATTGATTTAAGTGAGTTGTTATTATCTTTGAATGATGATTTTAATGTTAAAACCCCAATGGAATCATGTCTATTCTTTTTATCAACTTTTGGCTTATGAAATGGGTTCCATCAGCATGACTAAATAATGTTAAAGTTACTGTTTCTTGATGGTTTTATTGAGTTTTAGCTATTGCCCTAAGGGATTATTTATTATGGATTATTATATAAATTGTGGATATTGTCTATGTTGTTTAATCCTTATGATGAAATTCTGTTGAGTGGTATGATCCACCATTATTGGCGGTATTTACTTGAAGTTTATGAAGATATATGTGTATTTTGAAAATGGCCATGTAGGCATGATATGTGTAGTGAAGTGATGATTCCGATATGTATATGCATGATATGTTTTAGGAGGTTGAAATGAGTATCTTGAAGTGTCTATGTCTAAATGAAGTATGCAGTTGATATGTGAAGTATGATGATGTGTAAATTGTGATAAATGTGAGTTGAGCATTTCTAGAAGTTAATGTTATAAATATTGAGATTATGTGTAAGGTGTTCTCATATATATTCCCACTCACACTTGAATGTATTAATGAACTCAATGAATGAAAATGGGGGATTGTAGGGTTGACACTCTTTGTGATAGAGATGAAGTGTCTAGACCATCCCTACTATTCCTAAGTATGAAAAGGGGGATTTTGGGGTGAACACTCTTCATGAGTAGAGATGAAGTGTTTAGTAGAAACCTTAGTATTCCTAATGAGCTTTCCAAGATAGGTTGGAGGTGGGATACCCTTCGTGAGTTGAGATGGTGTGTTCAATAATTAACTTCTATAGTCAATGAATGTTTAAGAATCCGTGGGGGAGTTATGCTTAACACCAAGAAGATTTGAAGAAGGGGTGGGTACACTTCGTGAGTAGAGATGTTGTATCCAATGTACCTCTTGAGATGGGTGCTCCTCGCTAATAGAGAGTGGGTTACTTAGTTGAAATCTCCTTATCCCTTAACTATGTATCCGCATAGGTGGAGCTATTGGAGAACCCATGTAAAGGCTAAAGAATATGACCTTAGCTTAGGAAAGTAGGTATCCCTCATCCGGTAAGGGTAGTACCGGGATTCCATGTCAAGCTCTCATTGTCTATGTCGGTTAAAGCTGTCCCCCACAAAAGAATGTAAAGAACTAAGTCTTCTTAAGGGTGTACTACTTATGGTAGGTGGTGGAATGTGACGCTACTTATCCAATGCACAAGTAGACATTTTGAAGTAGTCTTAGTGTGTCCTTATGTGAAATGTATGAATGGGCCAGGATGTGATGTAAAAGAAAGTAATCTGACTTTATGCCTAATGTTAAGAAAGCATGTTAAAGGTATGTCTTGTATGATGGAACTTATGAATGATGAATGTAGTGTATCTAATCTCTTTGAATCCTCTAGGAGCCCATAGTGGGGGTAGTAGTATGGGATGCTATGTATCTAATCTCTTTGAATCCTCTAGGAGCACATAGTGGGGGTAGTAGTATGGGACGCTATTCTCATATTGCACTTTGTGTGACTTGTAAGTTCACTTGATAGGGGTACTTATGTGAAGTTCTTAAATCCGAGTATGTTCCTCTAGAGTCTTTAGTATTGAATGTTGACTTGTTAAATAAAATAAAGTATGCTTGTCCTTGGTAGTCTTAACGATCACTTGGGGTGTGTAGTGAAGAGATTGTATAGGCGATTTTTTCATGTCTTACCTAAGCGAGTCTTAGGATAACATGGGACAGGAAGAATTAGGTGTTAAGTGGGTTCACTGTAAGTATGCTTTTATGTTGAGAAAAATGAATGTTTTGCTTTATGTGCTAAATGATGGTTTTAAATGATATCTTGTGACTTAATACATGAAAGATTTTATCAAAATAGCATGACTTGTATGTTTCAACTAAATTGTCCCTTTTTGACTGTTTCTGCATATTCCATACTCAGTTAATTATTTTTACTAACCCCATAATTGTCTATACTCTATAAGTATAGGTTAGAGACGAGTTGAAGGGTAGAAGGCAAAGCTTGGGATTCGACTTTCTCAAGAGTAAGTATGTCCTCATATATTCGAGGGAATAGTTTATGTTTCCTCAAGTTCTTCTTTAAAACTTGTAAAGACTTATTATGTATTTCTTTCAATGTAAAGGGTCGTGTCCCTAAGATATTTTAGATGTGTCTTTAAGATTGGCTTGTGACGACGAGACTTACTCCTTAGTATTTTATAAAAGAAGTTTCTTGTTATTATTGATGTGAAAAGTTTAAATTTCCGCACTACTTTTCATGTCTTATGTAATGAATGATTGCTAAGAGGCTTGTGCTAGACCTTCGAAAGGTCGAGTACGCCTTGTGACAACCTAATGATTACCCTAACTTCTAGGGTGTACTTGCGGGTCGTTACAAATTTGTATTTTGCAAATCTTCTAACTTTGTTACTAGGGAGATACTATCTTTTTCAGCCTTAGAAAAAAATTCAAAATCAAAAAAGGAATGAATTCATCCTATCGATGTCATCCATGACATCATTATATGTCAAAATTTTCAAGGTTAAGAATATGAAACCATTTTATGGTTTGCCTAAACTTCACCTACCAAGATACTATCTTGACTTTTATTTTGTACTAATTATCTTCCTAGCAAATATTCATGTTAATTCATCTTCCATTTAGTTTGATTCCAAAAGAACCAAACCAACTCTTTCACTCTTCAAATAACTCTTAAATAATGTAACTACTCACTCTTTGTTCAATCCCTCTCTAACAGAACTCACCCTTTTTTACTTTCTTAATGACTTTAAGTCACAACATAAGGGTTGGAATCAGTGTTTTGAAAGGCGAAGGCGTTGGGCGAGGCGTTTTATCTGTTAGGGGGCGAGGTGCAAGTCTCGAGACGTGGGGCATAAGTCCCACGGATCTCGCGAAGCGTACATCCTATGAATCTCTATTTTAATTATTAATAAAATAAGGTTAAAAGTAGAAAAATCACAATAATAAAAATATGAAAAAATTATAATAATTATACATGAGTTAGCTAATAGCACAAATATGACAATATACGTGAGATGCACCATAACAACAATGATGTAAATATGAAATTATATCTAAATGAGCAGCAACATCATTTGAAAGAAAACATTTAAACCAACTAAACAATGACTTTAAAATACTCCAAAACATGAGAGGTCAAAAACTCTATTTGTTATTAAACAACATAAGATAAATTTGTGCAGCAAAAAATATATGGTCATGAACTCACTAGTACATCATTAAAAGCTAACACGCACTCATCTTGCATAAAGACACAACAATTTTTTCAATAGTTTAACACAAAAAAAATTAATCTTATTCCTAATGTCAAGAGCCTCCATAGGCCTAGTTGGACTGCATTGCCAGTTTATCCTTGAAGCCATATAACTTGCTTTTCTTGATGTCTCTTGCCTGCAACAATATCTTCATGTTAATAAACAAGATAACAAATAAAAATTTAGCACATAAACAAAAAATACAACTCTAAAACCAAATATCTTAATTAATGTACCTTTGTTTCAAAAAAGTTATTATTCACATATTAGCTTTGCAGTAATTAAAATCCCAATTGCATCTGATTGGGGAAGTTTTGTTTAAAAGTCTAAAAAGTACCACATCTATCCATCGCCTATCAAATATGAGGTCGTCCTCATCAATCTCGACATCTACTAATCCTTCATTAGTGTCATCAACCTCAAATTGCATTTATGTTTCTTGTGGTGGATCAACGGAGAAGAAAAAGATAAGATTATTTCAATAGTTGACATAACTAATAATAACATACAACAAAATTAATAAAACAATTGAACATTGAAACTTACCTGATGTCTTTTGTTTTTTTGCAGAGGGACCTACTTCACTTATATCTCTTAAACTACCAATATTCGCTTCATGTAAAAGATCATTCTCATATGGTGTAAGCGGCACATTTCTAACAACATCAACATCAATAAATTCTCTTCATCAAGCCAAGAAGGGTCTTCAGGAAGCAGAGGATCTTCTTTCTCAGTAATCCATTCATCATCAGAATCAATTTCATTAACAAGAACTGGATCCATTTTTTGCAATTTTCTTTTGATGCTCGTTTCTCTTAGTCTAGTGTTGTATCTTACATAAACAAGAGCATTTAGCCTATGATGCTCAAGTCTATTTCTCTTTTTGATATGGATCTAGCAGATTTGGAAATAAAAAGAATAAGTTATCACAAGAAAAACAATAATAATAAAAGTTCAATTAAAAAATTAACTCTTACCGACTCAAAGGCACTCCAATTTCTTTCAGAACCCAAGGAGCTGCACGTGAGACTCAAGACATGAACTACAACTTTAGTCAAGTCCGGAGTCTGGCCTCCAAAGCGCATCCACCAATCTGCCGGAGATCTCAATTTTCTAGAATCCATAGCTATTTGAAATCCAAATTCTCCTTTCAACTAGTCATATGAATCTAATTGAATATCCACTTTGAATCTTTCTTCATAATAAAACATTCTTTCCATTCACATATACAATTGTTTTTCACTTCAAAATCAAGAGAAAATCTTTCCTCAAATCGTAATTGGGGATTCAAATAATATCCAGCAACATGAAGTGGACGATTGAATTGGCGAGTCCATCTTTCATCAATTCTTTTCGAAATGGGACCATACTTTTTTCATTATATCCAAAATTTATAGATATATTTTCCTTAGCCTTATTCATCAAATCATACAAATGCCCCATGCATGGTTTTTCCTCTGAATCTAGTTCCCTCAAAACACTAACCAAAGGAGAAACACATTTCACACAATAAGCAATATATGTCCAAAAATTTTGATGATACAAAATTGTAGATCTTGTTTTAACCCCTTCATGTTTCTCAGACTAAGCGAATTTTTTCCAAGCTTCGGAAGAAAACATAGATCTAAGACCTTGTCTTTTCTTTTGGATGCTTTGAAGTGTGAGATAAGCCGTAGCAAAGCGAGTAACAACAGGACGAAGAAGGTCATGATTATTTGTAAATGATCTCATTAAATCCAACACCCAAGTATGTCCATAAATAAATCTCACTACTTCTTTTGCTTTCTAAGTGTTTCTTTATGAATTTTTGACTTTCCTATGTCTTCCGACAAGAGATCAATACAATGTGCAACACACGGTGTCCAGTAAACATGAGATCGAGTTTCCATTATTCTTTTTTCGGCATTCATAAAATTAATACCATTATCGGTTATTATCTGCACGACATTCTCTTCTCCAACTTCATACAAGCAATTCACCATTTTTTTATATAATCAGAAGCATCAATCGATCTTAAAAAGAAAGTACCTGCCGGGCTGTTAGTCAAAAAGTTTATAAAACATCTCTTTTTACCATCTGTCCAACTATCAGACAAAATAGAATAACCATACTGTTTCCAAGATTTCTTATATTCATCTTACATCTTGTTAATATTTGTAACCTCATCTTTTAGTATAAAAGTTCTCAACTCAAACATTGAAGGAGGCACAAAACCAGGGCCATAATTAGCAACTCCTTCAAACATAGGCAAATAGCATGGATCATTTGCAATATTAAATGGAATACCACTTGAGAAGGAAAACCTACCAATTCGCTGACAAACTTCTTTTCTTTCTTCTTTTTTCCATTTTGAGTTCAAAGTAACTTGTCTTGCTTGAGTATTCACAAAATTATTTATCGAACCTCTAGCCGTTGAAAGTAGATTTTCACTAATTTGACAGGAACCTGCTTCACTGCCTATGTTACTACTTCCAGTTGCAACCCTTCTCATTTCTTCTAAAGTAGCACTTCGCATAGTTTTCAAATTTTGAACCTTCAATAATGCTTTCTTGCATTCTTCCGCTTTGGAACTTTAAGACAAGGATTTATTCCTTTATGGGTGCCTGCTATATGATGCTTAAGCCTATTAAGCGTGCCGCTACAAGTATGTTCACAGAATCTACATTTAAAGTACTTCTCATCTGGAGTCACGATTGTATATTTCCATGCAAAATATTTTTTGCTTGCATTACTAGAGACGTCTTCATTTATTGTGATGCTTTAGAGTTTAGACTTCTGGATTACCTGTGATCGAAGTGAGACAGAGACCTTTATAGTACAATACAAAGTACAAACCATAAGAGCGGAAAAATAAAAATCTACAAAAAGAAAAAGGTTGATATTCTTGAACTTTAAACTTGATAACATTTCATTATGATTCATCTTGAACTCCAAATTTCATAACAATGTTGGATTATTTTATAACTTACAGGTTACAACATTCTTGATTTACACTTCACAAATCGCAAATTAACTTATCATTATATAATAAGTAATAGAACTGCAGAAGTTAAAGCAAAAGAAGAAGTCATACCTTGATGGTGGAAGACGAGATTAGGATCTTCTGCTAAGGCCTAAGAGGATAAGAGTAAGCGTGATGTTAGGGTTTTTTAATTGAATTTCTCTCTGAAAATATGAACAGTCAATGAAAAGAAAAATATATGTACTTTGTAGAATATAAGCAAGTAATTAAGTATATAAGGGAAGTGAAATAAAAAGGTATTCTCTAAAATATAACTAATTTTAATAGGGTCCATTAAATGTAGTTTTTTTCTCCAAAATACGTGTATTATGCCTAAGCGTACGCCTTGTCGAAAAAACGTACGCCCCCGATAATTATGCCTCAACATTGCGCCCGGTACGTTTTAGTTGTGTTTCGCCCCAGGACTCGCCCCGATTGCATTTTCTAAAACACTGGTTGAATATAGAGTTGCTTATAATTGTAACTAATGGTTGTTAAATAGTTAGTAGTGTAGCCCTATTGTTGCTGCTTTAGTCTCATCCCACTCTGTTTTATCCAGATATAATATATTGTTGTACCAATATTAGGGTATAACTGTTTATCTAACTGATTCTCGATCTCAATTCACTATAAGAAAAATAACTTGTAGAGGAAAAAAATATACACTCTAGTTAATTATCATTGAATCCAATATCGTAATAAGATATTGACATTAATTAATTGGTATTAAAGATAATTTTTGGTCTAGTGATTGTGATACTATTTATATTCGAGAGTGCTTATACAAATGTCTCTAACTCTGTTTTTTCAACTTTAAGTCCTAATCATCAGAAAGATTAATTTATATCACTCCCAAATTCATACGTAATACAAGAATCACAAAACAATATTAGAATGGTTTTCAAAGTTGAGGATATGACACATTTCTAGTCACCTCATTTATTATGCATTAAAAATTAAGACATCATATATAATTGATTCTTAGAAGTTACCTACACATTTCTGGTGACTGTTTAACAAATATTAACTTTCATAAGGATGGTGAATTAATAATATAATTTTTTTTCACTTTTTCAAAAATAAATAATATTAGTAATTTATTATTTAATTCTATTACATGTAATTACTAAATTTTTATAATTATTGTTAAATCCTGTTATTTGAGGTACTGACACACCACTTTTTTTATACTCCTATTATATATAGAAAAATTTTCCATCATTGAATTTCCAATAAAGTTTAATCATCATTCCTCAGTGTAGACACCTCATTTGTGTTCACAATAATTAAAAGATAATGGACTAACAAAAGTTCATTGTTGTCACTGACTTAGTCATTTACTTTGTACATATTTTAAGGACATCTTTTGGCATGGTTGTATATAGCGCTGCTACTTCAACTTTTAAAGGGGATTAATATGTAAACTTTAAACATTGTCTCTCCACACGTGTTTTACAAAATTAAACAACTTTCTTTTATGATCTCTTCCTTTGTATTGTTCTTCTAACACATGTGTTGATGTTGTTGCACGAAACTAGCATGTTTCGAGAAATATCAGAATACAAAATAACATAATTTATCCAACACACAAAAAATCGTGATACAGTCCATCTTTCTCGGCCCATAAAGAAGGAACCTATTTGTTTTCAACTCTTACTGTTGAAAATAAATAATAATACTCTTTCTGTCCCATTTTATGTGAGTTAGTTTGACTCGACATGAGGTTTAATAAAGAAATGAAGACTTTTAAAAACTTGTGGTCCAAAATGAATAACAGAAATTTGTGTGGTTGTAAATCATTTCATTTAGGGTAAATTAGACATTTTATAGTTATATAGTAACTTAATGTAGAAATGTGTCATTCTTTTTCGACTGACTAAAAAGGAAAGTAAGCTACATAAATTGAGACAGAGAAAATACTTTTTACTTTCAAAATAAATGGCCATATAGGCTATAAGTTTGTCATCTTCTTATCTCTATTTATTTGTTATGCCTGCAAGATTATTTTCTCTTTATAAAAATATGATTCCATTTCATTCAAAAGAACAAGAGAAAGTATTAAAGTTTAAACAAAACCCTAAACTCTTCATTGAAACAACACGAATGAAATGATTGTCTTTATGCTATAACAATGTAACATAGGTAGAGTGATAGAAAGGCATAATCCTCGAAACATGAGGACATACCCACACTTGATGAAATGATCCAAGCCTCCTTCAAAGTGGTCACCAACCCTTCAACAATCGAGATCTAAAATGTTGGGGAGAAAGGGAGAAATGGGGTTAGCACGTCACTTGTACTAAATATGGAATCATATGCACATACAACACATAAATCATGCTAAAAAGGAACATTTATTAAAAAACATGCAAAGTCACTTTGAAAAGCCTTATGCACAATCAAGAACCAATACAAGTCAATAAGCACATATTCCTTAAGTCAAGACCAGGTGCAACACAAGACAACCAATACCAATTCTAGTTAAGCAAACATACATATCAACATAATTGAGCACATAATCAAGACAATTCTATCATCAAGTTATAATATCAAAAAACATGCATAAGAGTTCATAACATCATAACCTAAGCAAGACCATCACCCATACACCCCTATTAAGTGCACTAGTGCATTGACTACGTAAGGCCTCATAACCTCACTCAACCAAGTAAACCCATCAAGAACTATGAGAAATGTACAACTTTACAATGTATATCAGTAAGAGTATACATCATCATACATTAGCAATAAAGACCAACTACATGTTCGTAATGAAACAAATATCACATAGTGTCATTGATGTATAAGATCAACATATATATATATATATATATTATTTACATTTATAAGAATTTAAGCACATAGAACATCCTCCTAATACTTCCCTCAAGTCTATCTAATACAATGTATAGGTATAGTCCCATACCCCTACCTAGACTAAGCTAAACCCCTTAGGTCATGGTAGTTAGAGTTCACTTTGTTACTTCGTTTTACTTTTGGGAACGCCTTTCCTTAACAGAAATAGACAACATGAGCTAATATGGTATTCCGTATCATGGAACCCTACATTGAAAGAAGATTGACTACTTGTTAATGTATTACCAAAATATGAAGATAACATTTAGGTGAATCCACAAGCTAGTATTTTTATGAGGGCAACAAAGTTGAAGAACTAGGAGATGTTGTTGGGACCCTCTTTATGATACATGAATAATAGTATCCAATCTCATGAGTACAATAGTGATCCTACCTTCCCTATGTGGGAAGAGACACTCTTTACTTCTAGTTCACTCGGTGCTAAGCTAGAGTCCCATTTTAAATGTCTTTCATCAATAATCATAACTTAGTTTAGGTCATAAGGGTCTACCTCTTATATAGTCAAAGTCATAGATCAACACGAATTGCATGAGTATTGCCCTTTCAATACAATTCACACATGTGAGGTTATCACATTTACATAATCATATTATGATAAGGCACATAGGAAATTCATCACCAATCTTATATCATTACATCCTACCTAACGAATCACAAGCCATAATTCAAGACATTTCAATTTAATATCATACCAACCCTAATCAATCTTATCATAAGGTATACTTCAATATGACTTCATTACTAATCACAAGTAATAATAATTGAAATAAAGGTTTGAGATCACAAGACTTACCAAATCTCCTTCCAAAGTCATCATCCATGGTCTTACCATCAACCAACCAATTCCATCCAATAATAGATGTAATAACAACATTCAATTGTAAATAACACAATAGCTAGGTCAATAGCATCATCATTATTCCAATTAACTTCAATTCATAACCTAGGGTTAGAGGAAAAGGGTTCCTCATGAAATCTTCAGGAAATAGATCCAATCCCAATAATACATTACCCTATGTAGTCCATGAATGAATTAAAATGGATAAAACAAGTCTAAAGATCAATGAGTTCATCAATTTCCATTAATTTATAAGCAATATCAAAGATTTGGGTAATTTGGGGAAGGGCACATGATACTCACGAAATTCCCTTAATTAACATGAATTCCTCAAAAATCTATACTTAACTAACCATTGGTAATAACAATTAGTCATAATCAATCATCAATTTTGTTAGGACCGAAAATAAGTAGGTGTAAACGCGGAAGCTAGCAATGCAAACCTCGAAACACCACGAGTAAGAAGACAACGAGAAATATACCAAAAGACACAAAGATTTAACGTGGTTCGGTCAATCGACCTACATCAACAAAGGAGATGAGCAATCCACTATAAATATGAGAGTACAAAATACAGAGGGAAACAACCTCAACCAATTCACTTAGAATACATGGGAGGTTCACACAAGTGATAACGTATCAAGCTTGTGACCCACAAATTCTCCCTCTAACCAAAACTCTCAAAGCCCTAAAGACTACATTGTGAATGCTAATTAAGTTAGAAGGAACATGCTTCTATTTATAGAGTCCTAAACCTTTTCCTACAAGAAAAGGATTAGTCAATCCAAAACCTTTTCCTACAAGGAAAACCTATTTATGGTAAGAAATTTAGGGCAAATAAAACCCAACAGTTTCTGATGGCATAGATTTTGAAATATCAGTTTCTGTCTGTGGCTCTTGATCTTCCTCTTCAGGTTCTTTCAAACCGCGCTCGTTTTGAATGACTTGAAACTCCACCTGTTTATCAAGACTCCCAGTTTCTGACGTAGTTGTAGGCTTCACAATGGTTCTAAGCAGAGAACTTTCATCAAAGACAACGTTCCTGCTCATAATAACCCTCTTTTCTGCTGGAGACCAGATTCTGAAACCTTTCACTCCATCTCCGTAGCCCACAATACTCCCTTTTTAGCTCTTGGTTCTAACTTACCTTCACTGACGTGGTAGTAAGCCGTACAACCAAAAGCTTTCAGATTTGAATAATCAACAGCTTTTCCTGGCCACATCTCCATAGGTGTCTTGCACTGTTTGCCTGTATGTGGTCCACGGTTAATCAAGTAGCAAGCTGTACTAACCGCTTCTGCCTAGAATCTTCTATATAGCCCAGCATTAGAGAGCATGCACCTTGCTCTCTCCAGAAGTGTTTGATTCATCCACTCAGCTACACCGTTCTGCTGTGGTTTATTTCTGACTGTACGATGTCGAGCAATCCCTTCATCCTTACAGAATTGATTAAATTCAGACTAGCAGAATTCCAGCCCATTATCGGTTGGCAACC